AATTGGATATGTTTAGCAGCATCTTCAATTGGCATTAAATCACAAGTTGAATCTTCGTTAGGCTAGGCCTAGTTAACAGGTAAATCAAAAGTTGTAACTTACCATAAGATGGGTGTATGGTAGGCCTAATTAGGTTAATTAGACTCATTAATGTCAAATCCAGTTAATATTGCAAGATATGTAAGCAAATTAGGCATATACTTCAATTGTGTTTATAAGATGATTGTAGATCAAAATTAAATAAAATTCAAACTTCTTTCAAGTCCAAAAACTCCACTTCCTGTATAAACTTAAAGACAACTTGTAGAACTTTGTAGAAACTTGTAGAAGGTTGACAAGTTGAAGATTCCAAAAAATTGGTAAAAATATAATTCAAATATTGAAAACACACTTCAAAAAGATTTAAATTAGTTATTCCTCAAAATTTAAAATAGTTTTAAAAGCAGTGAACTAATTTTGATTGCAAAATATGAAGTTCAGAAAGTCACATGTTTGAAGTTGAACTATTAACTTGCACACAGTGAAAATCAATTTTTTAAGTTAAAAATGTAAATTAAAAGGCGGGTTCAATTAATGATCCGGCTTGAAGGACCATGTTTTTTAATGCGGGTTGAAAAAGGCGAAAAATTGGCAAAAATTAAAATGGTGAAAAAGGAGGGAGCAAAAGATGTTATGACTCACCCTACATACTGAAATCAAGTGGGGTGAACTCAATCCTCTTCTAGCTAGAGTAGAATATGGTCAGCTTGTTTTTGGTGCTCATGAAAGGCAGGCTTTGTTTTATGTTTCATTTAGTAGCGTTTGTCCCAGAGGCATCGTTTTAGGGGGGGGGGGAGTTGTCTCTCCACTTACCTAAGAAATCAATAAAAATTATAACATAGGCCTAGTTAGTTGTGTAGAATTTAAATTGACTAGCTACTCTCACACAAATATACATAATTAACAATAAGTAACGTTTGGTTTAGAATTTGACAGTTTACCCTCTGAAATTGATTTGTTTTCCAGAAAGAAAACCCTAACTCAAACGAACCTAATGAGCTCGTGTCAAGTATTGTACAATTTTAAGACCTTCTAACAGATATGTTTGGTCAGGTGATAGTCTTAGTGTTTTTTTAGGCATTTACATTAGTGGATGGTTGGTCAAATACAATCGCTTTTATCGACTATTGCAGGTGATTCTGGGACGTAGTAGCTATCTTTCCGAGCGGACCTTCCAAACTCGGTTGTTGGGGGAATACAGGAGTCATAACTTACCAAGTTCAGGTGATTCTGGGACGTAGTAGCTATCTTTCCGAGCGGACATGTTTTGATTTTGCAAGACAAAGTTCTAATACGGACTTGCTTTGTCGACCGCTCAACCACTTTCCTGCCACAACATATTCAATGGGCAGTTTCCACTGGCCATACAACCATCTTACACTAAATACAGTGGCTTGCTTTGCTATAGTGTTTTTCGTACCAAATGTACCCACCTATGTCTTCATAACCTTCGATGAAATCGAACATTGTTGAATATTCCAGACCATCGTCAAACAATACAACACATGCCCATACATCTCTGACATGCTATCTGCTTTAATTTTAACCTTTCCAATAAACTGCAATTTAAACCAGGCGTTTGACATTTTTACTCCAAAAAGAGCACGTAGAGCCCCCAAAACATGTTCTATTATCCGTCGAGCTCTCAATATTCGGTAATTATATATTTTCTGCCTGGAGCTACGAGAGTATTTCCAAGGGATAAGGTTTCAAAAAATGTGTTTATAAGGGAAATGCATTATCAGCTACAATAGGTTTATGGAACTGGATCAGTTCTCCCAAGTAATGCTGGTAGTTCTGAAATATAAAAAACATTCCGCACTACTTTATCATATAGCACTATATCATATACTTCAAAACTTCACCTTCTGATATTCTTTTGAAATTCAATATCATGATAGTCTTCCTTAGCCGCCTGCATTATCATATATGAATTTGTAGCTTGCATCAATAGCTGCTTGCAGCACTATACTGAAATGGCCGTTATAATTATTGTAAAATTAACCCCTGAATTAGCATGATCATTTATCTGTTCCCCATCAATCATTGAACCATCAAATTTTGAAAACCCATCATTGAAATGTTCCCCATTAAATTTTCCTAAGCAGTGTGGAAAGTTCCACTTTCACTCAAATTCCTGGTGAGGTGTATTCATTCCTCTCCATTTTCCGGTAACCGAAAAACAACTTACCATTAATATACTGTATTAACATTGAGTTATTGTTTAAAAGTAAAATGAAATATATACAGTGAAATATTGTTATTTAGAGTCCAACGTCTGCTGAGCAACATTTAGTAGGCCTTTGTAAAGAAGATTAATCCAAACAAGATTGTGAAAATGGTATACCACCGCCTGTCACTGGAAGTACCCCATTCAACCGTTAGCTTCATAAAACTGGAATAAAAAGGTCAAAATAAAATACACAAACGATAGTTTAACATATGACTATAATTGGCGAAAAATTAGCTATCAAGCATACTGTAAGAGATTATTGCGTTGAATATTGTTACCGTTTTTTAGTTATGTCTACTTTTACAGTTTTTACAACTGCTTTCTTTTCTTTAACCTCGATTTACGCCTTTTCGTCCCACCACTCTTAATTACTGACAGGATAATTTTCATTGATATATATTATAGTTATTCTCTTATTTTTGCAAGCCAAACCATTTTCCAAACAGGTTTCTCAAAGTTTTGGACTCCTACAAGACATGTTCTTTAACAATTCATCAGACGTTTTTCGTCAATCATTTTTAGGTTTTTTTTACACAATACGACCAAAATTTACTTATGTTTTACACAAACATAGGTCCCGGTTAAGTATTATGGCCATCGTACGTAACCCTTTGGCAGTAATACACACTTAAGGGGTAACACGTAGTTAAGGGTTCAAATATTTATTAAATTCAGTAATAGTATCAAAACGTTATTATCAATTATCAATTATTTAAGATGGGGACGCCACTATGTGCGTATTTTAACCCAAATATGAGTGAAGGATGAGTGGCGCGATCTTGTAGTCTTGTTAGTGACTAAGGCCGACATGTTCCTTAGTCACAGCTGTTAATTAATAGCCCATACAGCTAATGGCAACTAAGGGACCTACAGTTTATAGTGGAATCCGAACCACATGTTTTCCTTGTAATTTACGAATTGGTCTAATTATCAGGATAGTACTGCGGATAGTCGTAGTACTCACTAGTGCGGACGTTAATCCACACCAGGGAGCATCGCATCCACAGTGCATCCCTATAAATATCCACAATTCGTGACCTCCTAGTAGCTGGATTACAGGACGGCGCCACCCGTCCCAGTCGTTTACAACTAAATCTAAATATCTAACATGAAAAATAAAACGTGTCACAGCTTTCAGTGGAACACTGTTTCAAATTGCTTGATACCCACTTACATTGTTTGGACAAAATTACTTTTAATAAAAGCGTCAACATGTACTTAAGAGTTGTTTACTATTAAAAGTTCTTCGTGACTCGTGGACTAGGATGGAACCGGTGTTGCACTGATCAGGAAACAATCCCTAACACTTGGACTTATTCTACTTTTAACCTAAAAAATAAACATGGGAGCATTCCCCCAGCGTCTCAGCCTCGCGTATACACGGATTTTTCGACCAAAGATGGTTCGTCACTTGACATTGAATCAGTTGTAGAAGTAATAGAGTTGCCTTCAACATCTCTGGTATTAAAGTGGAAATGTGTTCTTCACTTGCGGGTTCATTGATATGTAGTAATTTGTCAAAGTCTGGTTCATACGAAGTGGTTTTAGGTGGGTCCGAAATCAGCTGAGGAGCTTTTTAGTGTTGAGCGGATGATTTTGACCGTGGGGTTTCTGTTGAATTTCTTTACGTTGGTGATTTGAAAATTCTTTCAACTTACGTTTTCGAGGAAGTCCCTTCTTTGTAAGTGATTGTGTTAAAACTTGCTCATTTGGCACAATAATTTCATAATTTGTTTCGAGGTCGGAGGGAAAGTCGTCTAACTCTGCAGCCTGACATAAACAAACATCTTGATCGTTTAAAATGTTCTCGTTTTCACAAAAATCATAAAGATTATGATTTTCTGAATTAGACACAGCTTCAGTATCAGCAGTTGGAGAATTCTCTTCAAAAACACAATAAAAAAACTGTTGTCAGCTAACGATAGATCTATGTCCAATAACAACTGATCGTCATCTTGATTTACTTGAACTGTAGCATGAACTACAATAAGAATGGCTTCTTTGGTTCCATTATCTTCCTTAGAATTTTCAGAAGTGATATTTTCAATATTGGTAGGTCTAGAAGAAGTTTGAACAGAAGTAGGTATATCTTCAATGTTTTTATCCCCATTTAATTTATCAACTGCTAATTTCACTAGCAGTGATCCTCGGCTATATTAATGTTAGACGACATCACGTTTCCACAAACACAACACTAAATGTAAAAGTAATCATTTAAAGGGAAAGCTTTTATATATTTATATCTGATATAACCTCAAACTAAAGTCGCACTGGCGCAAATTCCCACTTTGTCAACAACTAAACTAACAATAACATACAATCTACCATCTGATCAGGTGGATTACAAGTACCAAAATAATAAACTGATCGAACTATGTAACCAGCAATATATTTAACTATATCACAAGATGTCACATTTTTTAACTATATCATATTTGATGTTTCATTTAAAATACTCAACAGTAGATCTTCTTCTTCAACAGGAGCATTCTTATCTTGAAGTAAATCCTGTTCGTCCTCTTCCAAACATCTCCATCCTGGTGTTGATGAGTTGATTTGTCTTTGTTCACTTTGTCGATGGTTGACTGTTAAAATCAAAGATCGGCTGAGGATAAGTGCATTACCTGTGTCTGACTCTTGTAAATCTAATACAATTATTTTACAGGATCCTGTAAATTGTCTGCAAGAAGGATTATTGTTGTGACCCCCTCTACTTCTGATGTTCAAGATGGTCTTGGCTTACTTTGTACATCGGAAGGTACTTAAGAATAGGATCAGAGCAATTTACATAATTATTTACATTGCTAATGTGCTTTCTATACAAACAATAAAACCAAGGAAGCCCGTTCTGCGCTTTGGTTTCAAAATTGACTGGCCGCATTTATCTCTCAATGTCGAAATATATTGTTTAGCTTGAATAAAAAACTCAGATTGAAGACTGAAATTTCCCGTGTATAACGCTTGTTTGTCGTACTTAGCTCTGATGCTTCTTGAATTTAAAGTGTCAAACAAATTGTTGAAAATACGAAGGAAATCTATTGTTGCTGATGAATTTTCAAAGTTTACCACTTTATTTTTCAAAAAATACTCTAGTGAATCAGCTACAGAACAACTTAAAACTTGCGCTTCGAGTTTAACTTTCATCTTTTGACTTGTATAGTTTATGTGACTGTTAGTGATTTTATTGCCTAATCGCAAACCCTCAGTCTGTTGAAGGTCGTGCAGTTGACCTATAAATTGCCATTCTATGGGATTATTACTAGAGTCTTTTAGGGCGGGTTTCTGAGTCAGGTATTAGCGCTAGTCTTAGACTAAAGCTCATTTTAGTACTGGACTAAGAAAAATATCTTTCTGATTCGAGTACTTATAAGTCAGCGACTAATCTTAGTCAAGAACTAGTTTTTAATTCTGAACTAAATAAATTATGCTTTAGACCACGGACTAAAACATGCTAGATTTTAATCCTGCATATGGGTAGGATTAATTTTAGTCGTCCACTTTTAACCTAAGCCCATTTTTGTGTGTTAAAGTTGAAGGTGATTATGGATTACATTGATTATAATGATTTTTACCGTTTTCGTGGGCCGTGAATTCGTCGTGAGCGGGAAAACAATCCATTTGTTGACTTATGTGAGGATGAATTCAAGGATAGATATAGATTTTCAAAAAACTCTGTGAGAGAACTAATTGAATTGATAAGGCCTAGTTTGGAAGGCACTTCCACAAGGGGAACTAGGTTACCTTTGTGGAAGAAAGTGTTGGTAGCGTTGCGCATTTTTGCAAGTGGAACACTTTTGCGAGAAGCCGGCGATTTAACTAATATTTCAGAATCATCGGCATGCCGCTATGTGCATAAAGTGGCATTGGCAATATGTCGTAAACTGAGGAAAGACTACATCATATTTCCAAAGAACCAATATGCTCAACAGACAAAGGACGCCTTTTATAGATTAGGTCGTTTCCCTGGCATCCTCAGTGCAATTGATGGCACACATATTCCCATTGTGTGTCCATCAACTGACGACAAGGAGGAGTACCGAAACCGCAAAGGCTATTTTTCAATCAATGTTTTTGCGGCGGTAGGCGCTAAGCAAGAGTTTACCAACATCGTCGCCAGGTGGAAAGGAAGCACGCACGATTCCCAAGTTTTCAAAAACTCATCCCTATACGCCCGTTTCGAGCAGAACGAGTTCAACGGTGTGCTGATAGGAGATAGCGGGTACGAATGTAACAGGTAAGATATGGTTTGGAATGCTTCTTAACTTTTAGGATTTATCCTAATTAAAGCCGGTACATTATTATTACTTGTCTTAGCAATAAACTTAATTTATTTCTGAATAGGAGAATTCAACTGAGGCATTTACGTTTAATTCCCAACAGTTGGGCTGCTCTTTCTGTTATGAAATCACATTGACTGCACGAGTCGATTAGAGCTCTGAAGACATGAGCAACACCTTGCCTAGACACCAACTTTACCAATACAGTTGCTAATAAAACAGTGGTGTTCTTTTGAGGTCGAGAAAAATTTGTTGATACTCCAGCAAATTCATTTTGACTTTGAGATGAAGATGAACATGATACAGCATTTCTTGATGTGAGGTCTTTCGATGGTTCTAAATGTAACAGGGTGTGGTGATTTTTATGACATTTAAAACAAGAGTTTTTCGATTTGCAGATACTGACTTTGTGATTTCCAAGACAAGAGAAACAACGTTGCTTGGATTTGATTAGTTCATACCTTTCTTGAGGAGATTTTTCTTTGAATAAAGTACAGGAATATACTTTGTGTCCAGGTTTAGAGCAAACGAAGCAAGGGAAATCACTGGAGCTTTGTGTTGATGCAAGGGTAAATGGTCTGGGATGAGTCATTTCATTTTTGCGGTTGAAGTTGGACAAAGGTGGGATATTTGAGTGAGGTTTGACCCATTTACTACTATTGGGTGAGTGCATGGACACATCTTCAGCATGTGCACAATGATTTGACAGAAAAGTTATTACCTCATTGACTGAGGGCAGAGATTCAGAGTCATTTCTTGAAGATTCATATTTATTTAACAATTTTGAGTCTAGTTTTCGTAAAAGCATTGATGCTAAGAGAGGATTGTTTTCCACTACATCACAGCCTAATGCTGTTAGAGCTTGGGAATTTTCATTAAAAGAGTTTAGCAAGTTTCTGAGATCCTTATTAGAGGAAAAACTAACACTAGGCAAATCAATGATTTTATTGATGTGGAGAGATGAAAGTCTTCGCACTGAATGGTAACGATCTCGCAACATGTTGTATGGTGTAGTTTGCTTCAGAGATGGGTAGGGATTTGACCAGATTGAGTGCTTCACCAGATAAAGTACTAAGTAGATATTGAAATTTAGCCGCATTTGAGAGAGATGAATTTGAATGAATTGTGGTATCAAAGAGGTTGATGAAGGCTATCCAAGTTTGAGAGTCACCATTATTAAAGTTTTTTAATTCTATTTTCGGTAAGCGCACCACAGACATGTTAGAGTGTTCCCGTTCATTGAGATGAGAGGTAATAGATTGATTGCCATCATTGACTTTACCTTCCAAAAGATAAGCATTTATTTTACTTTCTATGCTGATACAAAGTTCATTTATTTCCTCCTGTCGATCAATTAGATCTTGTTCATCATAGTCACCAGGCAGAGTGGGCACGTCCAGTAATTTTCTAATGTGTTCATTAAATTCACAACGCTTTTCATTGACTTCACTTTTATAGGAATTAACCTTTTGTTGATCAACTAATTGAACATGATCATTTTCTGATATAGTGTCAATAAATGAAAGAATATTATTGAGACGAACTTTAATGAGGTTAGAAGGTAATTATGTCGACCTCCAGTCAACGCTCTAAAAATTAATTTTTTTTTAATCTGTTCGTTTTTTAATGCTGATTCCAAAAATGATATTCATTTTTTGCGGAAACGTCCCGTTTTCCCGGAAAATGGGAAAAACGGGAAAAATAATTTTTTGCCCATAACCCATGTTGTGGGTACTCAAATTGTGCGGAATTTCCTCCTGAACAAGAATATGTAAGTTTTATTACGATCGGACCACTATTAAGTAAATATCACCGGAAAAGCGACCGCGCTTGCTACTTATGTACTGCCGCGTGGCGATAGCATTGCGGGTGACTCTAAGCCATTGTAGAATGCGGGCTTTATTTTGGGTTAGGATTGGTTAGGTTAGGTTAGGTTAGGTTAAGTTTGGTTAGGTTAGGTTAGGTTAATGCTAGCGCCATGCGGCAGTACATAAGTAGCCAGCGCGGTTACTTTTCCGGTGATATTTTACTTAATAGAGGTCCGATCGTAATAAAACTTACATATTCTTGTTCAGGAGGAAATTCCGCACAATTTGAGTACCCACAACATGGGTTTTGGGCAAAACAATTTTTCCCCGTTTTTCCCATTTTCCGGGAAAACGGGACGTTTCCGCAAAAAATGAATATCATTTTTGGAATCATCATTAAAAAACGAACAGATTAAAAAAAAGAGCGTTGACTGGAGGTCGACATAATTGTTAGAAAATCTGACAAAGGTTTGATACCGGTACTTCATTTTGTATATTAAAATGCACTAGTGAGCTGATTGGAGAAATGTGGTTGTAAAGGCAAAGATTGAAAGGGGTTGAAATATTGTTACTAAGGCAACAGAATCAAACATTCCAATTTGTCAGTGTAAACATTAGTAGATTTTGAAGATTAAATTGTGAATATCTTGATGAAATAACAAACAATAATGTACAATATTAGTAGTTTTGAATATCCATATTCTTGATTCTTTCATCCGAGGCTCGAAGGACCAATGAAATGATTAGGGAATTTTAGAGAGGAGAGAATAGTTTTAGGCTTGATGTATAATGGAAAAGGATAGAGATTTACCTTGAATAGTTATATCTTTCTAATCTTGATTCTAGTCTTGAGCTTAATAGTGTTGAAGAAAGAGAAAATCGTTTATAACTTTTAAGATATACTTACATAATCTAGAGAAAATCACCATTAAATAAAAGTAAAAAGATTGAGGACAAAACTTAGATGTATTTCTTGACCATTTTTCACAATAATAATAATAAAAACAACAAGAATCACGTGTAGTAAAAAGTTGAAAACCCCCAAAACATGTGTTGGAGACAGACTAAAATAAAATAAACCATAGAATACTAAACAGTATTTGATGCGGAGTGTAGTATAAATGGACACTAAATAAAAATCAAAGCCCAACACTTGCCCTCTCTGATTGCCCATTTAGTGATCGGAATGGATGTAATCGGCTCGTTAAACTTAATAACATATCAAACGCCGATATACAATAGACCAAAAGACCTATATGCTAATCGGAATAGGCAGCTGGCCATAGTTGAATTGACTGCCGACCAGAACGCACGACTCAAGGACTTTCTGGAGGACCCGCAACCGAAGCTGAGCTATTTATATTCTGTGCTCGCTGGAGCTATCCTTCAAGGGACCAGACGACAGTCTGCGAATGGTTATAATTTTGACTGTGTTTGCTGTGGTGGATTTGACTGATGTCCGTTTGATTTTCCCTGTGCTTTGTCTTGGCGTCTTAATCTCCATGGGTTCAATTGGAGACTAAAACAAAAAAGGCCTTAGTTTTTTCATAACATTACTCGATTAAAAAAGTTAGAGGTGGTCCTTACTGATTCAGATTTTTAAACTGTTTAAATAAAAAAAAACCTATCAAGTTTAAACCAAACTAGACAAAACTGTGAGTGTGAGATAATAATTCGACTCTACTTAAATGAGCTGTAAAAATTTTTAAATCAAGGCTACACTTGCGCTGACACCAGGTAGAAGTAATAAAAGTAAAAATAATAGAATACTAAATCAGTTATAGTTACGTTTCAAAGTTCCGTTATATAACAAAATTACTTTACACTAAATACTTCCATGTGTCTGTGCCACAGACCTTATGTGGAAGTGCAACCAAAATTAGCTAATACAATTTATTGTCTTTTTTTTACAGGAATTTCATTAAAATTACAGCCACTATTAACTGCTACAGTGAGAGTAATAAGTTAGTGTCACTATTATTCTCACTTATAAAACCTAACGCCCAACCATAAGCAGAGGATAAAAAGAAGGAAGATATAGGTGACGCTTGACGATGGGTCGAGGAAGCGAGTCAATGTGAAGAGGCTGGGCCTAACCGTGTTCAAGCCGTTCGGCTTATCACCAAGATAGACGAGGGGAACTCGGACGAAAAAGGAAGTTTTGTTTCTTCGGAAAGCTTTGAAAGCTAACCTATGCAACCGGCAAAAAAAAGACAAAAAATGAAAAAAAAAAAATAAATACAAAAAGGTTACATTTTCCAATGGAGAGGAAATTATCGTAAGGAGATTAGGATTTCTGTTGAATCACAGCAAGAATACGGCTTTTATGTACTGTTTGTTTTTTGTTTTGTTCTTTTAACAGAGGAGTAGAGTTTTGTCTAACGGTCAAAAATAGACACCACAAAATTGTTGACCTTATACAGAATTAAAGAAATATTAAACAAGGAGAGAAGATTTTTTTATATTTATTGGAATAATCGAAGTAGCGACAAGAGAAACTAGACTGGGCAAGGTGAACGTTGACCCCTCCTCACTTCAAGACGATTCTCGTAGCGGCCGCTGTCTCGCCAGGCGCTAGTGTCGGGCCTCGAACGGGGTGGGGGAAGCCAAGAGCGAGCGACAACGGACACGGACAGTTCAGTAGTCGGTCTTAGTCCCGTCTAGAGATGTACTCAAACGATTACTTTCCAGTACCAGATACAACCGATACTGGTACAGCTGAGTACCTGATACCGAGTAGCGAGTACTTTGTACTCGCGATTACTTTTCGACACGACTCCTACCTGTGTCTGTGTACTCGCGATTCCTACTTGAGTACTTGTACCCAATTCCACTAACAACTCCCGAGTACAATGTACTACCATCAATATGGATACTTTTAACAGTACCAGGCCAGAGGCCTACTAACCGAGTCACTTGAATAACTAGAGAATATAATATTTGTCGGCTGTATAAAACAAAAATATGTTTTTATGAATAAGTTAAATTTATTTCTAAATCCAAAAAACGAAGTAGGCCTACGGGTTCTTTATATTATTAAACGTTTGTCGTTTAAACGTGGAACAAATATTTTCTTTTTGTCTATAGTTTTAAAATCAAGAGAAGTGTGATTAGAAACTATCATCAGACTTTTAGACTGTACTCGATACTTGTAACACTGTTAGAGCAACAGTAGACAGGCTGAGTCAACACTTCGATACAAAGGAATCGTTTATTACTTGTACTCGTCTAGTACTTGTACTCGTCTAGTACTACCCGTAACAGGGAGTACACGAGTAATCGCTAACCTCACTCGTACTCGTACATCTACAAAACTAGATACTAAAAGTAATCGCGATTACTTTGTATCTAGTACTCGACACTTTCAGTATCTAGGTACTTTTGGAATCGCGAGTACCTAGTACAAAGTAGCGACTACTGATACTTCGACCCACCTCTAGTCCCGTCCCAGCCACCAGCGAAGTAAGTTACATCCTCCCCGGTGAGTGTAGTATACCCTTTGGTTACTCGTTAGTGATACCATAACTAAATTTCATCGCTTTTACGTTCGCTTAGACAATCGACAGTGTAATATATATTCGATCGTAGGTTTAAGTATAGTTTGTTAATTTAAAGAAGAATATTATTTTGTTTGCAATTTAGTTTTGTATAGAGGTTAGTTGCAGAGTTAATTGTTCTGGGAACCAGGGTCGCTCCTCTGACTCCCAGAGTCATTTCATCGACTTTATTTGTAGTTAGCTATCGAGTCACTATCACTAAACTTTGACTCTTTACGTTTTAATCGTTTGGGAACCAGGGTCACTTGATCGACCTCATTCGCCGTTAGCGATCGAGGCACAATCCCTCGAAGTTAATCGTTTTGGGAACCATAGTAACAACCATAGTAACAATAGTAACAAAACTATTTCCTCGATATACATAAATCATGGTTATACATATTCGATATACATATTCCATTTTAAGGAAAAATTTTGTACTATAATTTATAGGTATGAAGGTGACTGAATTATTGTAATTTATTGGCTAGGTTATTTGAACTTAACATTAAAGCCCTATAAAAGCTGGAAATTGCATGGTTACCTCTACAACTACAATTGCAGACGACGTGGTGTTTGATTCGGGCTGTTTTTCCATTATCTTGTCAAAGTAGTGCCATGCCGACAGCCGTTTATCTTCGTCTAGTTTTTTTCTTAAGTTGATTTCTTTTGCGACCAGCTCTGTCACCGTCTTTTACGGTTGTCTTTGCTAACTCCGACATATATGGGTGGAGTTTAAATCGGGGATCTAAAAATGTTGCCACTGCAGCAGTTTGGCTGAATTTAAATCTCGTAGGACACCATTTTGCAGTGCCTCCACTAGTGCTAGTGCTGATCCTTGAAAAGGCATTTTCATTAGCTCAGTGCAGACGTTTTGAAGACCCGCGGTGTGGACAATCACTTGGCTCCCGGTCAAATATCTCTCTCCACTCATTTAGCGAGTAACACTTTCGAAAGGCTCGAGGATATTTACTAACTCAGAGCAGATTTTCCATTCGTCAGGAGATATACTTAAATTAATCCTGTCACTCATTGCCAAGGCAGATTTTATTCCATCTTGGAGCGAAACCAATCGTTCAAACATGTAAAATGTCGAATTCCATCTAGTTGTTACGTCTTGTATGTGTCTTGTGTGTGTTTTTAGGCTTACTTAGACCAGGATCTTTCTGGAATTTCATAAGTTTTTCCGTGGCCAAGTTACTTCGTTTAGAAAAACTCACGATATGTTTGCCTTTTCTGTGATGTTATCAATTATTTTAAGGCCGTCCTGGACGATTAAGTTTAAAGTGTGTGCGTAACAGCCAAAATGCTTCCACTATAACTCGTTCTTTACTGCTCCTACAATGCTTGAAGCATTGTCACTTACTACAAGTAGGACCTTTTCATCGGTTATATTATATTCTGCAGTGACATTTTTAATCGTGTCAGCAAGATGCTGACTGGTGTGTGATCCTTCGATCTGGGCACATTCCAGAAGAACTGACTCTAGTTCAAAACTATCGTTAATGTGATGAGAGGACGCCAATGCTAAATAGCTATCATTAGTTGAGGATGACCAGCAGTCGGTAGTGAGACATACCTTTTCAGCATTAAGGACTTTTTCTTTGATATCCAGTTTGCATTTTGCAGTTGATGTTTTAAATGTTGCAATAGTGTCACACAGGTTAAGTGTAAGAGGGGGCCATGTGGCCCTAACTTTGCCTGACTAAATAAATCATTTTCATTTCATCATTTTCATTTCATTTCATTTCGTAGTGTCCTTTAGTGAATTCAATAGTCCCACAAAATTTTGAAGACAAGACGGATTATGTATTAAAAAAATATTTTATTGAGATATATTTTGGTTTTTAGATTTTTAATTATCAGGGACTTCGGTGAGAGACAAATTGTTTACAGTATTTTATTTTTGATTCAGACTTAAATTGCCAGATATGTACCAGATATGAGAGACAACTGTTAAACTATTCCTTGTTTCGAATGCTTTAAAAAGGTCATAGGTACTTGAAGAGTTAAAAATAAACCAATCAGAAATTATATATAACTAGTGGCTTGTAGGGACACAAGTCCCTAAAAAGCGCAATAATGTAAAACAAATTATTCTAATATACAAACAAACTCAGAAATATATTATCTATGTGTCAGAATAGATATCCCTGTACACCATATCTTTAGTGTAAACAAAAATAGTTTGTTGTTTGTCTTTGTTTGCCTTTGTTGATGTTATTTTCAATAAATCATTTGAATCACTACATAGGTTTAACTCCGCTAAAGGCAGCAAACATATAATTGTTTGTGAATAAATACTGGTTTATTAAGGTAGCTTTGGTCTTAATGGTCTTGGTGGTTAATGGTGATAAAAAAAGGCTTCCCTGATTGAAATTTTGGAAATTGTCTTCATCAAATATGAACAGGCAAATAAAGGTGTGTCTAGGTAAGCTTAGTTCTTGGCCAAACCCGCTAAATTATCATCCCTACGCAGTTAATATTTCTAGGTGTATAATCCTATTGTTAAGGGTTAACAACATTATCCATTGACCAAACTTAACCCTAGATTTTTTCTGATCAACATAAAAAAACTACAGTTAGTGTAACATTATGTGGTGGCATTCCTCTTAAATGTGCGATTGACGTTACATATTCTATCAAATTAATAATCATCGGCTGATTTTTAACTCTTTTGCGACTGGTAGGATTCCATTACCCAGTTATCGAAACCAATCACGAAATTACTTTTCATCAGAATTGACATGCATATTTTTGGTTTGTTTAAGAAACGTAAAGCAACGGAAACTACCTCTAGGTTTTACTGTTATATGTGGATGCTCCCTTTTATATACCATACATGCTAGGCTATATTATTTTAACCTTTATTGTTTAGAGCAACAGACAGTACCTGTTTAAAATCTCCGAACAATAGTGTTTTTCCTCCCATTGTAACTTGTCATAGTACTTACTTAATTAACAAATATATATTTTCTTTACGAACCTATTCCATCTTTATTCCAAGTTATTTTCTAAGAGTAGCCGTTGAGGTTATTCCACTTCATGCAAAATATTGATTAAACACTACAATAAATCTCAAATTTAAAATTTTGGTAAAATTACTAAGAAAGTGTAGAATAAATCTTGAACATATGTTTTAAAATTAAAACAAAGCAAAAGTTTTCCATTTCACCTTGAATCGTTGATTATTTATTCAATGTGGTTATTTAATGTTAAACGTTAAAAAATAAACAAACTTGAAAAGTTCCACAGTAAAATAATTTATTTTCACATTCTATAACGTAACCAAAAAGTCTTAATTAAACCATATTAAAGTCTTAATGTGGTAACGTTATCCCTGATTTTATATAGTACATTGCTGAATTTACTGGCAAATAAGTATAATCCAAATGTTAACATTGCGTACTGGCTTGATGATAAATCACGATCAGCTATATTGAACTAAACAAAAATTAGCAGAAAATGGCTTCTAATGCTATTCTTATGGAGAACATTTTACGTTATATCTCGTTTTCTGGTAACTTTATGGGAATTCTGCTATTTTTCCCGAGTCCCTCGGATCAAGACCTTTAATTAAAGACCTCTCCCACTATTCTGCGACTTACCAGATGTCCACAATGTTCTGGTAAAAATTTGGTCTTACAGAATTTCTTATGGAGAACATTTTACGTTAAATCTCGTTTTCTGGTAACTTTATGGGAATTCTGCTATTTTTCCCGAGTCCCTCGGATCAAGACCTTTAATTTAAGACCTCTCCCACTATTCTGCGACTTACCAGACGTCCACAATGTTCTGGTAAAAATTTGGTCTTACAGAATTATTTCTCCAAGGTCAAACGAAGAGATTAAGACTACTCCCACACCTGCCTCATGAAGGAGCACACTGGAGTCTGTATATGTACATTTGACAGGGGACTAATATATAGATAGATGTTTTGTTATTTAATCGTATAGGCCTATGATTTGTTAAGGTAACACATTCCAAACACTTCTCTTAGTTTCAATAATTTTTGTTTTAATGTTGGTTGTTTTGTTTTGTTCTTAATGTGAGTTTGAGAATTTCTTTGAAAGTCTAGGGTTTTTTTATAAATTATATGTTGTATTTGTGAGTTATATGTTTGTGTAGGCTTCCTAGTTACCCATCCCCACTGACCAACTGTAGACAAGGCTACAAGAACTTCATGATTTGCCGTGTTATCTTCAACATCGTGATCGGAGGAAGAGACTTTGTCAAATTCAATAAAAACCGGGGAAACGCAGCTGGGGGCTAGGGCTTTTAAGAAGAGGATATCTTCAGGCTGCAGTACACTCAATCAATGGCAAAAGCAGTCCAACATCATCGTCAACCGAAACCGAAGTCGATTCATCATCAATGCTGTCAAGGAACGCTGGATGGACTACAGACTATAGACACCAAAGTGGGAGATATCGCAGAAGACATGGCTGTGGTCAAACATCTGAAGACCAAGGACTGTTCGAGGAGGCTTTATCGACGCAATTGCTGAGGAAGTTAGCAAGCAGTTGGTCAGTTCTTCCCCTCCTAAACCTTATTATAATTTTGTTCGGGTACAATTTTAAATATTTTAATTACATTTGTTATTCACTTTTTTCTCTCTCTACGGATGTATCTATGTAGTTGAGACGCTGGGGACATCGTCTGGAGGAAATGGGGGGATGTAATAGGAGGGTCAAATATTGTAAAGAGGAAGTGTTTGGCAATGTTGTGTGAGTAGGCTGGTAGTGTTGTTAAACAATAACTTGTTGTGCTGACCTACTGAAGGCTGTTGCTTTAAGTAGGGCAGTGCACTTGATCAAGGGTCAGTTTTGGTGGGTAGTGTTTGTGTGGTGCACCGGAGGACAGGGTCCTGCTGGGGGAGCTGGAGCCCAAGGCCCTTGGCCTTGGGTCCAGGTAAGACAATGTAAAAGGTTTTCAAAATTGGGGTTTAGAGTCACACTTTCTTCTTGGGGACACGCTTTCCAAATTGGGGGTTAAGCTACTTACTAATTTATACAGTTCCAGTCTACTCTACCTTTTTGATTGTTAGTTTATCTTTGTGTTGTTTTGAGTAATTAATGAAGTTGGGTTTTGTAAGCGAGTGCTGAGTTTCTGGGGGTTAAGCTACTAACTAATTTATACAGTTCCAGTCTACTCTACCTTTTTGATTGTTAGTTTATCTTTGTGTTGTTTTGAGTAATTAATGAAGTTGGGTTTTGTAAGCGAGTGCTGAGTTTCATTCCTGAGCTACGTCACCCTAAGTTACAGTAGGTATTCCAAGGGGAGGAATACGTACCGTTACAGTACGCAGCTGGGATGAAATTATTAGATATGACTTTCCGACTTGGAAGTTCATGTGATGGGTTTAGTGTATTCACAAACCGATTGAAACCCTTATCTTCTACGACTGAAAACGGCTGATAATCTTAAGTAAACAAATCTAGAAGCACATTATCAATTTTTTTCTTCTGCGAAATGCTTACCTTTTTTGGTATGTAAGTTGATATATGGGCTGGTCTGGCATACTTCATTGAGACATTTGACGAAGCAGTTGGTATGTTTGAGGAAACGGCAATCACGGGCAGCGCCTCATTCGATTTTTATAGGTCATTTTCATGAAAGTTCACCGCATTTAGTTCACCATAGCCTATGGGGTCATCGGGGTCAACGTCAACGATTGCTTCAGCTTCAGCAGCTTGTAAATTAGAGGAAGTAGGAGAGCCAGGGATACTTGACCCAATTTTAAGTTTTCTATTTCTATTTTTTATTCTAAATGTTGGATAAACTTATCAAAGGCCTTAATATAGTCTCAGACATCTGATACACCCTATATTATTCTTGTATACTATAATTTTAGGTTTTAGAATAGTTAGAATTTTTTTTCTAAACTATTGCAAAAGGGTCAAGTATCCCAGACCGTAAGGATACTTGACCCACCGATTAAGGATACTTGACCCATGTATGTTTGGAAGCAAGGATATGTATAAAAAAAATTAACACATATAATGACAGTTACAAAGTAATGTTTTATTGTAGTACATGAACTAAAAAATACCTACTTAAGTAGTTAGACCTACTTAAAAGTTCATAGGCACCGTCATAAAATGTATAAAAACAATATTTTTAATGTTATAGGCCTTTAGAAGCATAATGCATAAGCATATAATGACAGTTACAAGGTAAGGTTTCATTGGAGCCTATATAGTACCCTACAGTAACTAAAAAAAGTAGTTAGGCCTACTTAAAAGTGCATAGACACAATCATAAAATGTAGGCTATAAAAACAAAATTTCAATATTAGCCCAACTGAGTTTAATAGGCCCTACTCCTATTCAATGATAAAGTTAAATTCATTTTTAAATAAAAAACTAGTGACACGATCATTTTGGTAAATGAATTTTGGTGGTTGAAGACGTGATACGATCTGCTCAGGTTCAACTGTGGAAATGTCCTCTATTTCAGGCCACTTGAAACGACTCCCCTCCTTGGAAACGACGATCCTTTTTGCAAACTTCACTGTTGCCTCCTCCGAAGATATCTCAAGCACTAACCCAATATAATATTTAATGCTTCGTTGACCAATAAACTTCACAACAACCCAATTATTTACTTCTGGTAGCCCACAATCAAGACTAACATGTTTAGGCGTATCTACTTCCATATCCGATTCACTTTTGTCCATTTCAGCCTCTAACTCAGACAGTAGGTCTTGACTTGTGTCACTTTCACTTTCAGGTTTCTTGCTTTTTTTATAGGCTTGTTAAGCTTAAACTTTTGTTTGAATAACGCCTTCCTTGCTCTTTCTTCCTTCTTCTTTTTTTTCTCCTCACGTTCTCTATGTTTTATTTCAATTTCAAGTTTGTTTGGCGTGTCTGTTGCTATCATTGTTTTCCCCTTCTTTCTGCCTTTCTTATTGTCTTTCCTTGGCCCAGCCTTTGGATAAGGCAATAAAGTTTCTGGACTAACACAAAAACTTGTCGATGCAGAAGTTGAAGGCCTCGACACAACATCAGGTCCTGTATGCGTTGTGGATCGCTGTTCATGGGGTACTTGTAGTGTTGCAGGTTGTGCGATTTCAGCTGCGTCAGGTACTGTTTCGATTTCTGGGTTTGGACGGTCGGTTATAGCTGAACACAAAAAGTCAACATCAGTGAATTTATTATCATTAAAAGGCCAAATCCACTCATTATATTTCTAGGTGTAAAAGACTGAGGGAATGCTTTCCCAACAAGACTAGCAATGTCATAAATGGTTAGTGGTGTGCCTGGTTTCTCTATCATCAGTCTGTTGGTTACGCAAGTGTTGTAGCATCCTTTAAAAGAGGAATATACGGCAACATCCAAAGGTTGTAATCTATGAGAGCAATGAGGAGGGAAAGTTTTAGATAATCCCATTTTCTCTGGCAAAGTCAATTGCAGGAAGCGAAATATGAGTCTCATGATTGTCAATGAGCAAAAGAACTTTCTTCTCTTTTGAACATCTAGTATATTTAACAAAATGTTTTAGATAAAGTGCAAAATTTTCCTCTGTCATCCATCCGGAAATATAGGCTGCACCATCTGAGCCAGGAGGAGCACCAAATAAAAATGCAGGATTCATTTTTTGTCTAGGAAAGATAAAAAATGGTGGAATGCTGTTACCTAAGGCATTGATAGCATTTAAAACCGTCACTGTTTGTCCTCTTTCTGCAGATGTCACTAAGCCTACTTGCCTCAATTTTTTGGGGGCAATGATTTTAGGGCACCTTTGTACAGTGGTAACCCCAGTCTCATCTGCATTCCATATTGACTCTGGGCCAAATTTTTCCCTATTCAAAACTTCCCTCAGGTTCTGGTAGAAAGTGGAGACATTGTGCTTATTAAAGCTCGTTGACCGGCTTAAGCTTGTAGCTTCAGGCTTTTTTAATGACAACTCAGGGTGCCTTTCCATGAACCCCTGCCTCCAATAATAGCCTGCTCGTTTTTCTTTGGTCCCAACTTTCAGGATATTTTTTGTTATTTTTAACAGCCAAGTCATAAGCAAGTTTGGAAATAATTTTAGTGGTCAACCCATGGTTCATCCGAGCCATTGTCTCCAAATACTTGGCTAATTCATTTTCCTCCTCTGGTGAAAAAACCTGATTAGGCCTATATGAGGGCTGAAAATCTGTAGTTTCATTCCTTTGAATTTTTCGCACATATCTACGCAGTGTGTTTCGAGATAGGCCAAACTCTTTAGCTACAATGTGCAGAGCAGATCCATCTAAAACTCTATCTACGGCTTGTTTCATTATGTCAGTAGGGATTGGGTCTCTAGCTTTAGCTCCTTCCTTTCTCTTGTACTTTTGAGGCATCTGAAAAAATAAATTTACTTAGAACCCAGGCAATAAAATATGTACGGGTTGGGTCAAGTATCCCTAACTTGCCTGGGTCAAGTATCCCTAACTGTTCCATCCTCATTTAACCTCAAATTTCACCCAACTTGGACTGATTTAGAAACGGTTATATATCATCATTTTGTAGCTAAACAAATGCTTATTCAATATAAATCACAGAAAATAACTTACCTTGAACTGTTTTCTGTTAATACAAATAGTTGTATAAACTCAAAAATTTACATTTCGGCCAGTGAAATACATTTAATTTTATACTGCACAAGCAACTCCACAGATCAGAATGGCTGTTCCCTCCAATTTGTCATACAACCTAAAGCCAATCAGTGATGCCATTGCCAACTCTCCAAAATTTCCCACTGCTGGGAAAATACCCTTGGGTCAAGTATCCTTATGGGTCAAGTATCCCTGGTTCCCCCCCTACTGGTAGAAAGCGATTGTTTGTTTTGAGAATGTAGGCCTACTTTTTTCTCTAATTTTAAATCGATCGTTGGATGTTTCCTTATTAGATGGGCTTTCAAATTTGATATTGTTCCTTTAAAGGATAGTTTTATACCACAAAGGTCACATCGGGCTGATTTGCTGTTGCCATCCAAAATCGTAAAATAGGACCATAAAGGGCTATTTTTTTTTGGGCAACTCATTTTTAGCAATCTTAAATTAAGAAGTTCTACATAAAAAAAAAAAAAAAAAAAAACTAAAACAAATTAACAGTTCAGTACTTACTTCAATTTTTTTTTTTTTTTTGTTACTTTAAGAAAATTAAAACAAAACCCAAATTTAATCTATATTAATAAATAAAAATCTGGGTCACAAACTCATTTGCGCTAATGTTGGGCCACAACTTAGTGTTTATGGAATTTGTTGAGTGTTAGTACTGTTAGTTTTGGTAAATTTAAAAAAAG